GGGCAGGGACACCATTCCTACCCCCTGGCTAATAGCACTCCATGGACCCAACCTCCATGACTTGATCTCACTTCCCTTTCAACTCTGTTCTAGTTGTAGCCTTCACAGCCTCCTGCAGCAAGGAGTTCCACAGGTTGACTCTTTGCTTTGTGAAGAACAACTTTCTGTTACTAGTTTGAAGCCTGCTACCCATTCCTTTCCTTTGGTGTCCTCTAGTCCTTCTTTATGGGAACTAATGAAGAACTTTTCTGTATGCACCCTCTCCACCCAATTCCTGCTTTTAGAGACCTCTATCCTGTCCCCCTCCGTCTCCTCTTTTCTAAGCTGAAAAGTCCCAGTCTCTTTAGCCTCTCTTCATATGGGACCTGTTCCCAACCCCTGATCATTGTAGTTGCCCTCCCCTCTCCCAGCCTCTCTCTTCCCCTCTCCCACCTCCTTTTCCCAGTCTCCCCCAGTTTTGTTCAATAAAGACAGATTCCATTTTGGAACACAATTGTCCTTTATTTTGTACATCAAGAAAAGGGGCTAGGGAAGGGTAAGTGGAAGGAGGTGAGGGAGGAATGGGGTACGAGCCCCCGATGGGAAGGACTGGGCTGGCTCTGCGGGCTTCTGGGGGTGGAAGCTCTCCTGCAGCCCCCCAATTGCCCCCTCTCCCCAGAAGGCAGCCTGCGGCAAGTGCAGCCGGTCTGATGGCTGAGTGCTGTGATGTGCCCAGTGTGGGCACTCCGGGCAACCCAAGCCAGGACTGGTTTGCAAGTGGGGCACCCCTGAGAACTGTCTGTCCGGGATGGGGGTCGGGTCCCTTTAAGCGCAGCCCTCAGCTAGCCTGAGACAGCATCTCCACACTCTAAGTCCTCCTCTGATGCCCTGCCGGCTCTGCTTCCGGCCATATTTAAGCCCGGTTCAGGGTCCACTTAATGTGGACATGCTAGTTCGAATTAGCAAAACGCTAATTCAAACTAGTTTTTAGTTCTAGACGCGTTAGTTCGAATTAGCTTAGTTCGAATTAACTAATTCAAACTAAGTTAGTTCGAATTAGCGCTGTAGTGTAGACGTACCCAGATAGACTAAAACAGCTGGTCCTCAGCGGGCAACAACAAGCAGTGTTATAAACATCTTAGCTCCTATATCCACCAGGATCCTCAACAAGCTACCCCAGTTACAGATTCCTGTGCTGCTTTTAAAATAATTGGGAAGGTCTCGTGAACAATGGGAGATTTTAAGGAAATAAATTTCAGTTTTTCAATCCCCTCCAGCCAACATTTGGAAATGTTTCTTTTTAGACAGAGCTCTTTAGCTGGAAAAAATATGAAAAACTATTGGCTTTGGGAATTCAATTGCCTTCATGGAGGACTGAACATACTGTATGAGGCTGATTAAAATATAGAAATGCAGAGGGGAAAGCTGCACTGTGTCTAAAAGAGCGTGTAGCTTTAGAAAGTCTTTGGGGTTTTTTAAAATCTTAGAATACTTTTGATGGATCAAATTTTGAAAGTTTGATAGCAGTTAGATCAATTTAGTTTTTCTCTCTGGCTACTAGTCTTCTGAGGCAGTCGCTAAAAATATATATGCAACTTGTTATTCTTGAATGTGCATGTTGTGAATGAAAGCCAGGGGACTGCAGTTTTTGAAGTGCTGTATAATATGGAGACACATTTTATCTTTGTTGGTGGCAAAAAAATGACAGTTTTCTCTGGTTGCTCTAATTTGGATGCAATTTGCAAGAGTCAGGTCATCCCAGGTAAATACTTTGCTAGCCCATTGGGGGGCCCTCCCACACAACACATAATAAAAAGCAAATGGGGGGTCCCTTGAGCTGCTTAGGGTCTTAAGCAATTGCTTTGTCTGCTTATGGCTAGCACCGGCTCTGCCCTATTATTTGTATTTGGGAATGATCTGTAGTATCAGAGACAGGAGGGCAAGTGAGAGGAACTCCATTTTTTGGTCAAGAAAGGCTTTTGATTCCCCTGTTGCATGTATAAATAAGCACTTTATGCTGTTATTTGGAAATGAATTAACAATATGTTTTGTTAAATACAGTAGTTTGCTTCCATTTACGGTTGAAACTTAGATCTACAAAAAGTAGCTCATAGCTTAAACAACAGCCAAGTGGAATTTATGCACAGATGCTAACCTGTAACTCTGCAACAGCTTTCAGTAAGTTTAAATTATAGAATTTCTTTACTTGGACTGTAGGATCATCCTTGCATTGCTCGCAGTGTGGGCTATAAACAAAATGAAGGCAAAATGAAGGCAGACTGCTCTCAAGGTCAGGTCCACATTGAACAGCATTGTAACTATGTTCCTGCAGCTGCAGCCCCTTAGTCTATTTTTAAATAATTAATAAAAGCATGACAAACCAAATGTTGGAGGGGAAATGAGTTTTCTTTAACTCAATTATATACAAACAATTTCACAGGCAAAATGTATGTGAGGAATTTTAGAGATTTTTTTTAAAAGCACAGACCTGGAAGTTACCAGAAACATTCTTATGCTTATATTAGATTCTACAACTGTGATTTTCTTTTTTTCAGGACAGAGAGGGGCAATGGAATGGGTAAAAATGTGTTCTACCTTATGTCATGATTCTTCATTATTAATTTTGTGGGCAGAAATGTTCAAAGTTCCAGTGGACTTGATTTCTAATGAAAAATTTACCTGGCATCTCTACTTTTCTGATTCCCTCAGTAAAATGATAAAATGAGTTTTGGAAGGCATGTCCAAAAATGACAACTGGGCCCAATGTTCCATGTTTTAAAATCAACAGTAATCTATAGTAGTGTTTCAACACACAGCAACTCAATATTAGTGTTGTGTCTGATTAATTACTGTAGTGTTTTTTAATGAAAGTATCTCAAATGCTCTGTATTGCTATTTTACTACCGAGTCTTTTAAAGGTTATGTTTTTAAAGACTGCGTTTTAGCAAATTCCAACTACCGGAGTTTCATAAAAATGAAATGACTAATATCATTTTACAGAATCACAGAATAGTAGATCTCTAAGGAAGAATTTTCCCCCTTCACTGGACACAGGACAGCCCTTCAAATATATAGCAGGTTATTAAGCAGCAGCCTTACACTCTAAGTAACTCTGCACTATTTTTTTTTTTTATTACCAACTTCAAGGAATGAAAAGCTTACAGGACTCAATAGACTGGCACATCACTGGTAATGCAGAAATAATAAATAATAACTCTGTATTTATTTGTACTATTCAAAGTTAGCATTCCCCAACTTACTACAAACCACATCCTGTTCCAAATGTGGGGGGAGAGTGGGGTCTCTGATCTCTCTGTTTATCTTTTGGTAAAGACTGACTTTTTCATTTGACCAATAGAATTGTCTCCAAACTTAGTTCTGCCTCTCACTCCTAACTTCAGTTGGATTGAGCTCCATAATCTGAAAGAATGTTTGAAGCTCACCAGATCCCAGAAGCAACTGCAGGAGGACAGGAAGCTGCACCTGGCAGCAAGATGATAGGTAGCACCACCATTTCCTCATTCTCTTCAGAATGGAATGCCTGGTCAAAAAAAGATTGTTGTGGTTCCAGTCAAAATCCATTAAAATCTTCAGTTGCTGATGTAGTGGGGCTAAGGTAAGCTCACGGCCTGCTCTGGCTCCATATGGCTCCCAAAAGCAGCCAGCATGCCTGCCTCCTAGGTGAAGCGGCAGCAGTGGCCCTTTGAGTGCCACCCCCCCGCCTGCCATTGGCCAGGAGCTGCAGCCTCTTGGGGTATGTCTAGGCTACAAGCTTTTGTCAACAGAAGCTTTGTCAACAGATACTTTTGACAAAGCTTCTGTCGACAAAGAGCGTCTAGACTACATCCAGTTCTGTCGAAAAAGCAAGCCGCTTTGTCAACATGAGAGTGTAGACGCAAAGGACAGTGTAGATGTAATGTTATTCTTCATAGACTGAGGTTAATCGCCATCGAAAAAACTGCCGAGTTCTGTCAACGTTATGTCGACAGAACTCGGCAGTAGTATAGACGCAGGTATAGTTTTGTTGACAAAAGTTCACTGTTGTCGACAAAACCCTGTAGCCTAGACACACTCTAGGAGTTCTGGAAGTAACACCTGCAGACATAGGCAGTGTCCAGAGCCCCCTGGCCCCTCTGCCTAGGAGTCAGATATGCAAACCAAATCTGAAAGCCGCACAGAACCAGGAAAGACTGGGAGCTTGCCTTATCCCCTGCAGTGCCGACCCAGAGCTGCCTGAGGAAAACATCATCCAGCCAAAAGTGATGACTAGACTGAAAAGAAAAGTCGGAAAAAGATATGAAAATTCTGAACAGTTTTCCGCTTTTTTTTTCAGAAGAGGCTTTTCCAAAATTTGGCCCATCTACACTGGGCCAAATTTTGGAAAAACCTCCTCCTTTGGAACACCCTTTCTTCCTCATACAATGAGGAATACAGGAATGCTAAAAGAATATATCCACTTTTTCAGAAATTGTTCTGGTATTCTAGAAAAGCTCTGCAGTGTAGACATAGCCAGAGCTTCCACTCTGCGCACCTCCTGCACCCCAACCTCCTCCCCTATCCCTGAGCCCCCTTCCATGCCCAAACTTCCTCCCAGAGCCTGCACCCCCTCCTGCACCTCAAATCCCTCATCCCTGGTCTCACCCCAGCACAGAGGGATCACGGGGCTTGCTGCTCCAAATGGCTGCAGGTCATGACCAATGGGAGCTACAGACCGGTGCTCAGAGCTGGGGCAGTGAGCAGAAACCCCTGCTGCCTCTCTCCCCGGGGACTAGACATGCCCGCTTCTCTTGGGAGCTTTGGAGCCGTGGTTGGCAGTTCTCATCCACACACTCCCTCTGTGGGAAAGCTAGCACTTCCAGCACTGTTTCAATCACCCTAAAGGCTTGCCAAATGTAGAGTGGCATAGTGGCAAAAATGCAGCTATGCCACTGTAGCTGTTAAGTGAAGATGGTACTACACTGATGGGAGAGCTTTCTCCCATTGGCATAATTAATCTACCTCTCCTAGTAACTATGTTGCTGGGAAAATTTCTCCCAGCAACATAGTGCTATCTACATCAAGGGTTAGGTCAGTATAACTGAGTCTCTCAAGGGTGTTACACCAAGTTTGTATTATGAACTGGCCTAACTCTTCCCAATCCCATGCCTGCAGTGGATTTACAGCTACTGTCCCTATGAAGTTGTCTAAGGCTATGTCTAGACTGCAGGCTTCTTTCGAAAGAGGCTCTTTTGAAAGCATCTTTCGAAAGAGCCTCTTTCGAAAGATCGCGTCTAGACTGCAGGCGGATCTTTCGATAGAGGAAATCCGCTTTTTCGAAAGAGAGCACCCAGCGAGTCTGGATGCTCTCTTTCGAAGACGGCCTCTTTACATTGTAGAACGCCTTCTTTCGAAAGAGGAACTTTCGAAAGAAGGCGTTCTTCCTCGTAAAACGAGGTTTACCGCCATCAAAAGAAAAGCCGCGTTCTTTCGAAATAATTTCGAAAGAACGCGGTTTGAGTCTGGACGCAGGGGAAGTTTTTTCGGGAAAAGGCTACTTTTCCCGAAAAAACCCCTGAGTCTGGACACGGCCTAACTGAGAGGAGAAAATGGCTTTCTGGGGCCTGTCTCATCGCTAGCTCACCTGTACTAGTAGGGCATGGACCACAAATTATTTCTGTTTTATTGTTCTCAGATTCACAGTTCATCTTTGCAATTTCACAAGGCAAAATCTTTTACTGGACTCATATATGGTATTTGCATTCTTACTTTTCTTGGCTATTTTAATTTAGCCAGTGTTAGATACTAAAAGTGCTATCTGACAATAGAACTGGCATAAGATTAATATTTATTGAATTTAACGGGGAAATAATTACCACATAGAATTTAGCATTCATTCATAGCATAAAGGAAACATCTGTTTCTCAAAATTGCTTCTCTTTTAGTAATTAAAATAAACTTGTGGGGGTTCTTGTTCAGAGAATGAGCAAGTTAAAATGATTGTGACAATAGCATAGGTCAAAACCAAAATGTTAATTCAGAGCTAGTGAAAATTGCTTTTCCATTGACATAGCTGGACTTTCAGTTCCTAATAGGTTAGATTCCTAACGACTAGAAATATTTCATATCTGACCATTCATATATACTTTGAAAATGATCACATTATAAGGTGCATGGAACATCAACCTTTGCACTTTGTAGAATCATAATGTATTCTATTAAAGATATCCCATTTTTTCTTTCCATTTTAAACTTCTCCCTGATTCTAAGTATTCTCCCTGATTCTAAATCAACCCTCTAGGCTTCTTACCTTGCTTTTCAACAACATAAGGGGTGTGTCTAGACTACACCTCTTGGCCGACAGAAACATGTAGATTAGGCACATTGAAATTGCTAATGAAGCGAGGATTTAAATATCCTGTGCTTCATTAGCATAAAAATGGCCACCGCTTTTTTTCAGCACGGAGCTTTCTCGGAGAAAAGCGGCAGTATAGAGGCTGATCTTTCAAAAAATAAACCCTTTTTTGAAAGATTCCTTATCCTGTGTGAAATGAGGTTTACAGGATATTTCGAAAAAGGATTTATTTTTCAAAAGATCAGCCTCTAGACTGCCGCTTTTCTCCACCAAAGCTCCATGCTGAAAAAAAGTGGCAGTCATTTTTATGCTAATGAAGCGTGGGATATTTAAATCCCTGCTTTGTTAGCAATTCAATGTGCCTAATCTGCATCTCTCTGTCAGCAGAGAGGTGTAGTCTAGATACACCCCTTATGTTGTTGAAAAGCAAGGTAAGAAGCCTAGAGGGTTGATTTAGAATCAGGGAGAATACTGAGGTACCCAGCATCTTACAGTAAGCTTTAAAATGGTGAAAACAGAACATGAACAGACTTGCATAGTCTCAGAGGGATAGCCGTGTTAGTCTGTAACTTAAAAAAATTTAAAAACAACGAGTGATCCTATAGCAACTCAGAGACTAACAATATATAGGGTAACATGAGCTTTTGTGGGCACAACCCACTTCTTCAGATGAATGGAGCAAAACACACAAAACACACAGCAAAACCCCAAATTTAAAGCAGAAAAAGAGGGGAGAGGAGGAGGGGAAAAATAGTTGTCAATTGTAGTGTCTGTACTAAATGAGGCTAATAGAGTGGGTTGTAAGTGTCCCATACTTAGCTTCATATCATTTGGGTGTTGACTATAACGACCCATCCAGTTCATGTCTTTGTTCGGTCCCTGAGTGATGGTGTCAAATTTGCATATGAAGGCCAGTTCCGCTGTCTCTCTCTCTGCAGTTGGTTCCTGAAATTACTTTGTAAGAGAATGGCTATTTGGATAGGGCAGCTGACAGAGGGGGAGACCAGCGCTCCCTGCAGTGCAGACTGGGTGATGCTGAGGATTGGCTGAGGGAGTCACAGTATAGTCTAGGTGGCACTGAGGGCTGACTGCCCTAACCCTGCCTCTTCCACTAAAGGCCTGCCCCTTCTGGCAGCCTGGGGTGGAGCACCCCCTTTCCCTCAGACATTGGCCAGGGCTCAGTGAAATCTGTTGCCAGCCTTGGACTTTGAGCATTTCACAGTGAAATCAAAGCACCCTCGTAAATCTTCTATATTGGTTCAGTATAACAGCCATTGCAGGTCACAGACTTTCTGTCTTTCAAGGATAGACATCTGGGCTGTGTCTAGACTGGCCAGTTTTTCCGGAAAATCAGCCGCTTTTCCGGAAAAACTTGCCAGCTGTCTACACTGGCTGCTTGAATTTCCGCAAAAGCACTGACTTCCTACTGTAAGAAATCAGTGTAGACAGCTGAGATTTGTTTTCCGCAAAAAAGCCCCAATCGTGAAAATGGCGATCGGGGCTTTTTTGCGAAAAAGCGTGTCTATATTGGCATGGACACTTTTCTGCAAAAAGTGCTTTTGTGGAAAAGCGTCCGTGCCAATCTAGATGCTCTGTTCCGAAAATGCTTTTAACGGAAAACTTTTCCGTTAAAAGCATTTCCGGAAAATCATGCCAATCTAGACGCAGGCTTCATGTATAAATATTCCAGAACACTTTTCTTTGTCTGTCAAATCCCCAGCAGCTCAGACTTCTTGACCAAGACAATTGCATACAAGATTCAATGAGTGAAATTCTGGCTTGACTGAAATTGTATCATTTGGACCATTACCCCAACACAATACATCTGTATGCTATTCAAGCTCTGCATTGGCAAAAAGCACGTATCTAGAGAGATAAGAGAGGGAGCATCATTCAGAGAGATATTTGCTGTCCCACTTATTCTTCCAGCTGCAACAAAATGAAACAAAACACTGTTTATTATTTATAATATCATTGTAATATAGTGGTTGAAATTATTAAGCAAGCTAGAAAAATGTGTTGCAATATTTAGATTATTATTATGTATCTTTTACCAAGCACGGTATTTTGATAGTATTCTGAATTTCATTTGGATGTTTCTATATTGAACAGGCTGCTGCTATTGGAAACAAAATGATGATGAACAGAGCTCTTCAAAACTTCAGCAGTAGAAGTTTAGATACAGAAAGTGTTGAAAGATTTATTTTTAAACTTTAAAATGTGTATAATTTGCTCTGTAAGTCACTACCATTAGAAAGCACTTAAAGAATTTTCAGCCAGCTAGCCTATAAAATCACTGGCTAGAATTCAACCTGAAGGGAGGATCCAAAGAGGATGGAGAAAGGCTGTTCTCAGTAGTGACAGATGGCAGAACAAGGAGCCATGGTCTCAAGTTGAGGTGGGAGAGGTCCAGGTTGGATATTAGGAAAAACTATTTCACTAGGAGGGTAATGAAGCATTGGAATGGGTTACCTAGGGAAGTAGTGGAGTCTCCATCCCTAGAGGTGTTTAAGTTTTGGCTTGACAAAGCCCTGGCCGGGTTGATTTAGTTGGGATTGGTCCTGCCTACAGCAAGGGGCTGGACTTGATGACTTACTGAGGTCTCTTCCAGCTCTATGGTTCTATGATTCTATGATTAACACACCTGATACTATCATTTTGAAGAGAGTGGCTCCTTTAGGGTATGTCACTGACTGCCCTTAGATTGTTCTGTTTTATCTATTAAATTGTTCATTTTTAAAACTCTGTCTTTCTTAAAGGGTTCTAAAGAGATACTAATTTTCAGAGATACACAGGGGTCTATATTGTTATCATTATTCACTCTGCTACAGAAAGTCATAGAAATGTAGAGATAGAAAGGACCTCAAGAAGCTATTTTGAATCCCTGTGCTGAGCAGGATCAAGTATATCTAACACCATTCCTGGCTGGTGTTTTTTTAACCTGTTTGTAAAAATCTCCAATTACAGGGAGTTTCACGACTTGCCTAGGAAGCCTATTCCTGATGTTAAGTAATAGTTAGAAAGTTTGTTCTATTACTGAACCTAAATCTGTGTTGCATACATTACTTTCTATCCTACCTTCAGAGGACATGAAGAATAATCGATCAACCACCGTAAGGGCTCTTACACACAAGATTGCGAAGACTGTTACCAAGTCCCCTTCTCAGTCTTCAACGTGCCCAGTTTTTTTAACCTTTTTGATTGGCCATATTATTTAAATCTTATATCAGTTTTGTTGCTCTCCTCTGGACTCTCCAATTTGTTCACATCTTTACTAAAGTATGACATCCAGAATGGGACTCAATACTCCATCTGAGGCCTCACCAGTGCCAAGCAGAACAGGACATCTGTCTCATACATCTTATATACAACTCTCTTGCTAATACGTGACAGGATGGTATTAGCCTTTTTCACAACTGCATCACACTGTTGGCTCACATTACATTTGTGATCCATTGTAACTCCCACGTCCTTTTCTGCAGTGCTGCTGTTTAGTGTGACTGGGTTCATGTGGTCACACCTCACCACCAACACTCTGCTCATGGACCCATGTCACTCCCAGGATTGCAGCATGCTCTTCTGAATGCAGCCCTCCAATTTTGCCCCACTTGGTTTTCCTCCTTTCTGGGGGGCTAGAAACCTCTATCCTGCCACTGTCTCCTCAATAGCAAGTGATGTGGGGGAGGGCGCAGAACTAGGCCCACCCATGACTCCAGGTTCTGACCCCGGGACTCAATAGCTGTCAGGCACATGCTGCATTCCCTCCAACCCCACAGTCTATTTCCATGGGTCACAGCCCTAGCACCTTCTCTGCCCTCCTCGCAGAGCCTTAGTCTGTGAGCAAGCAGCTGGGACTTGCTCCCACTTTACTGATCCTATCTAGCACTGCCCTATCCCAGCGGTTATCTTCTGTGCAGCCTGATCTCCCTCCTTCTTCATCTGGCACAGCCCAGCCCTGACTGGCTATACCTATAATTCCAGCTCCTCTCTTGATTGCCTCCTCCTGCATTCCTATAAGTTCATGCCTGATTGGCTGCCTCCTGAGGGTTGCTTTACCCCCTTATGGACTAGGGTAGGGCAAATAGCACATCACACCTACCCAGTTATTCCCCATTTATAAATGTATATTTAATTTTGCTTTCTTCAGTGAGCTACTTTGTACTTCTCTTTATTGAATTTTATCTTGTTGATTTCAGACAAATTTGCCAATTTATCAAGATCATTTTGAGTATTAATTCTGTCTTCCAGAGCGTTTGCAACTCCCCAAAGGGTCATTCACAGATTTTATTAGAACACTCTCTGTGACGGGGCAGTCTCGCCCCGCACGGCGACTCCCGCCGAGCAGGCGTTGCTCGGCACCAGGAGGGAGGCAGCCCGGTGGTGCACGGCGTGTTCCCGTGCCGCGCCGTGGCTGATGGAGCTGGCTGACCCACCAGCGTCGGGCCGGAAGCGCAGAGGCAGGGGTGGGGATGGCGCGGAGGCATTCCCCCGCCCTGGGAGTCCAGCGCATCGGGGAAACGGCATCAGGGCAGGCCAGCTCCACCCTCCCCCTGCTGATGACGTGAGGCAGGGCGGAAGTGGCGCACCATTTAAAAATGCCGCCGCCATAACCTGGTGGGGGAGAGATAGAGGGTGAGTGTCTAGGTGGAGGGTTCGGAGATGCCACCAGCAGAGACCTTGGAGAACGAGAGAGGCCAGAGAGGGTGCCTCTAGACCGGCGGTCCCAGTCCACTGACTCCTTTGTTGCGGTGCGCCGGCAGCCTGTCCACTAAAGGCAAGGGGAGCCTTCCAGCTCCGGGAAGCTGGGGGCGGGGAAAGGAAGCAGCCCAGGGCAGAGCCCAGTTGGGCTGGTGGGCTGATGCGTTACGGCAGGATGCCCCATCAGCCGGACTGGATCTAGACTGATCCGTGTCCTTAGGGCCCTGGGCTGGGACCTGTGAGTGAGGGTGGGCCCGGGCTCCCCTTTCCCCCGCCCCGTGGCCTTGGGGGAGATGCTGGTAGTTATGCATCAAGGAGAGGGTCGTAGCTGAGGCTGGGGAATCGTCCTAACGACCCCTAGCAAGGGCGCACGAGCGACATTAAGACCCCCCCCAAATGGGGGGAGGCCAGAGGGTACCCTCGGTCGAGACTGGTACACTCTCCATTGTATTATCCAAGTCATTTGTGAAAGCACTGACTAGTACAAGACACAGGGCTAACCTCTATAGGACTCCACTAACTAGATTCTTCCAGTCTGACAAGTCATTGATAACTCCTTGTTGAGTATAGTCTTACAACCAGTTGTGTGCCCACTTTATGGCAATTTCATCTAGCCCACATTGCTCTAGTTTGTTTAGGAGACAGTCATGTGGAATTGTGTCAGCAGCCTTACTAAAATCAAATATATACACAATATAGTATTTTCCTAATAGTATTGTCTACTCCTTGCTGTTAGAGGGATGAGGAGGCAGTGGAAGAAAAGACAACCCTATAAAATATACAGCTGATTACTGCAAAAGGAAATCTTTCATAATCCTGCAGCTCACCGTAACAGCATTGTCACTTAGCTGTTTCTCCCAGCCCTGTTTTACTATTAGTGTCTCCATATTATAGAACACCTTTTTAGTTAGAGACCAAACACACAGTTGCTTGTAAAACTGTTGTTTATATTGTTATGGGGGGTTTTAAACTATGTTATGTGTTGAGTTAAAACCTCATTTAATCTGATGTCTTATGTACCTTTCTTTCAATATTGCTATAAGACACAGTTATAGGCAGATACCTAAAACAAAACATTACACAGTCTGCCTAGATACTATTGTTTGCCGTGTGGCAAATAAGTGTCAATATGGATATAGAAATAGTTTAGCAAGGAGCCAAACAAGAAACAGAAAGGAGAGAGATTCAATGGCATCAAGAAAGCCAGGTAGTAGTTTGTAATCACACCGTGATCCTTAAAGAGCTTTTACATATGTTGCTTGCTAAGGACACTTTGGGTTGTAAACAAAGAAGCTATCCCCTGGACTTGAGTCCAAGTGTGTTCACAGAAGCAAGATTTTGCATGTTTCTTGTAAATAATCAAGGCTTCATCAAAAGGAAATACCAGACTCCATCATCAGTTTATGACAAAGGGCATGTCTACACTATGGGGCTACGTCTACACTTGCAAATAGAAATAAGAGATCCTCTGGAAAAGGGCTTTATTCCAGAGGATCACGCCAGTCTGAACGCTCTTTTCCGGCTTTTCCCCAAGCCGGAAAAAAAGCGGTGGCCATGTTTATTTAAATCCCGCAGGGGATATTTAAATCCCCCGCGGATTTCCCTATTCCAAAGTTAGAAATTAGCATGCCTCTTCCAAAGAAGGGGCCAGTCTAGACGTAGCCTGGGAGAAAGTCAAATTAAGATACGGAACTTCAGCTACATTAATTGCATAGCTGAAGTCGAAGTAGCTTAACTTGGTTTTTAGAGCCGTCTACACTGCAGGAAGTCAAAGGGAGAACACTCTCCCTTCAACTTCCCTTACTCTTCATGAAAGCAGGGTTTCTGGCATTGACCAGAGTACCCTTCTCGGTTTAAATTAGCTATCTTCACTAGACCCACTAATTCGAAACCTGAACGATCAACAGCGTCAGCTTCGAACTTCCTCTGTAGTGTAGATGTACCCAAAGTGAGCTTGCCATTAAAACATGGATTTGTATACCTCTAAACTTTCAGGAAGTTTGGATATGGATCTGAACTTTGCAGCACAGGTCTCATGATCTACAAGTTAAATGTAGGCTGTTCCCAACACAGACATCACAATGTAAATGAAGCCAGTGGGACTGTCTCTATTGACTTCAATAGAAATTTGCTTTGACCTAATATCACTGGTGCATCTACTAGTGGGGCTCCATTTATGTCTGCAATTTTTTTTAAATATCATGAAATTTAGTGCCATTTTGTTGTGGAGAATTTCAAACCTGCAGAAGTCTGCTTTTATATTAACTTTCGTGAAATCATTGAAAACCTGCTCAGCATCTTCTGAGATTGCATGGGCCAATCTTCTTGATCTTCATTCTGAAATCAGAGTAAAAACACCTCCATTACATTGCTTGGCATGTATTATAGCACATTACCTTTACTATCATCAATACTCAAATGTTTGACTGTGCACTGAAAAGTTATTTTGGAATCACTACTTAAGTGTAACTTTCACAGTGCAAATCATAGGCCAAACATACAATTGAAAATTCACATTCCTGTTAACTGTATGTCAGTAATCAAGTCAAGAAATGGGAATAATAATATGGCTTACATAAATAACTCAGATTATGAATTTCAGGGATTGAGCACATACAAGAAATTGTTCGTGAATGAACAAAAGACCACAGATGAAATGCATGAAAAATTTTAAGTAATAAATACTTTGCAAAAATTTGCTACTTGTTCACAGGCAATTTGTGACCAACAAGGAGATGAAGTGTCAAATAAATGACTCTTTATGAATTGATCCTCTAGATTGAATAATGATACCAGAGACCAATCGGCTTGGCCTGCTGATTACTGAAGGAGGTCCTACAACTTTGTCTAATAAGGATCTGTTTTACTCTGGTTTACACATCTGTGGGTTTCTTCAAGGAAAAACTCAACTTTGTTTCCCTTTATTCCAGTTGGGTTGGTAGATTTTACAGTGTTTGTTTATTTGCTGCTGGGTAGATTGCAGTGGGGACTTTTGCTAGACTTGATTTTGATGGACAGGTTACTATATTTGATGTAATTTTGTTTTTTTAATTTTGCTTTTAAGGCTTCCAGTGGCCTTTGGGCTAATGTGCTCAAACATTAGTTCTACTATACTGTATTTTTTTAAATGTCATTAGAACCCAGTGTGAAATGTCTGACATTGTCATCTAGTGTATTATAAAATAAACAAACTTACTATTTGTTTGTTATTGTTATTTGGAAAACCTATAACTAGAAATGGGGAGGGGGGAGACTTTAAAAGCTCTAAGGTTCACTTCCTTTAAGTACCCAGAATGCTTATCCAAACCATTTAGGGCAGCAATACTTGCCTGGGAATCTGAGGAGAGAAGTTTATCTTGGGTGAGATCTGTGTACTGTGAACCAAAAACCCAAATCAAAATGCCCTTCATGTATGGATCCACACTCAGACTTTCAGTTTTCAGGTCATTGCTTGAGGCCATTGCTTGAATTATTATTGCTTAAATTATTATTACATGTAACAAGCTGTCCTGAGAATACTGTTGCAAGCGGATTTTATGATATTTTGATATTTCTGTTTTCAGTCCCTCAAGAAAATAAACTAGACTGAAAAATCTGAGAAAACCAAAAATGAAATTAAATTTTACTCAGGAGAAGAAAAAAGTTAGCTTAATGTTTTTGAAATCTTAAATAAGGTTCAGTTTTGGTTTCTTTCTGTGATGTCACATAGCAGGTAATTCAAAGATAATGTTGCCTTTGAAATGAGCTTTTTATGGTAACTGAGATTATCTTTTGAAAACAGATATTTACATTATTGTACTAACGTACCCTTTCCACTTAAATAATATTATTCGTTAGTCTCTCCTTACTGAAAGTCAATCTAGTGTGAATAACTGCACAATGTCGTCTTATTAGGCCCATGGAGCCAAAGCTGATTAGAATCAACTCTAGACTTTTTCCAAATGCCTGTTTTTGTTTTCCATGTATGTAAGATACATAATGGTGTGATGTGGCATAAAGGCATGAGTGGAGATTCATGTGTTAGTCTCTTTCAACGATTCTTTTATCTGATGGTTTATTAATTGTTACCATTACAGATTCTTTCTTAGGGCACGTCTACACTTGCGAGAAGACTGCCCCTCCAGAGGTCAATCTTCTAGTGTTCAATTTAGCAGGTTTAATATAGAGCCGTAAATCGAATGCTGAGGGCAACCCCCGCTAGCATCTACTCCTCATTCTGAGTGTAAGGGAGCCGACCAGAGCATACTGTAAGTCGACCTGCCTGGTCTAGTATAGGCCAGACCTTACTGCCTAATGGCCTGATCCTACTCAATACCTTTTTACTGACTTCAACAGATATTGAGGGCACATATCGCCATATACATAATATTCTGGCATCTTCCAAGATTTGGGTCAAATTATGAACACTTATTACCTTTATTTTTCTTCTTGAAGACATATTTTTACAAAGAGTTCAGTATTTTAACCATTTTTGAGTTAATGTTAATTTTGTCTTCCATTTATTAAATCAAACAGCCTGCTTTCTGTATGGTACTTTCCCCTCTTAATATTTTCCTTTACTCCTCTGGAGATTATGAACTCTTTCTCCTGTTCTGCTAATTTTTCTTTTTTTTCTCCAAGCCTTAATAGAATATTTGCATTTGTTTGCCTTCTCTAGTTTTCATTTCCACTGGAGGTTTTTTTAAAATCATGGGATCTTTGAGCATTCTCTCATGAAGCCACATTGTTTGCCTTTTTTTGTTTTTGTTCTTTTTCAGAGGAATTTTAGTCTGTGTGCTTTAATTCTGTTTTCTTTTAGGATTTTCCAGGATTACCCTCAAAGGTAAAATTTAATATAGCCTCCTGCTACTCACTGTAATCCTCCAAAATGTGCTTTCCTGAAATCTAAAACTAAGATATTCTTTTATACACTGAGGAGCCTCCTGATACTATATAGATATATATTTAGTTAATCTCTAAAGTGCCTGTGATGGGGTGTCTGCCCCACATTGGCCTGTTAAGGGTTAAAACCCAGCCCTGGGAGAGGGCTAGAGCAGAGAAGCTGAGAAACCAGCAGCAGTGGCCAGTAAGATCCAATTTATTTATACAGCCATCCCAGCAGATGGCTGTATAAATAAAGGCTTCTGGCAGGGTGGAGACAGACACACTTGTCATGGCTGGGGAGCAGGAAGGACCTGGCTGCCTGGGAAGTTGTAGGGCAGTGCTGGGGAGCTCTGGCCTGATCTCATTCCCAGGCTGCAGGGCCTAAGACAAGGCCAGAGAATACCAGGGCTGTAGTTAAAGCAAGACTGGGAGAAGGCAAGCAGAGTTGGGGAAGATCTAGCCAGGCAAGCTCCCAGGCTGCAGGGCCTGAAGCAAGGTTAAAACAAGGCTACTAGGGCTGCAGAGAGGCAGGTAGGGTAGGCAAAGGCAGCAGGTCTACACCCCCTTGCCAATGATGAGTGGCCATTTCAGACTGCAGTTGCCCCTAGATGACGGCTGGTGGTGGGTCACTGAGGCAAGGATGGCATAGGGGAAGGACTCTAGAGTGCAGAGACATGGGGAGACACCAGCCAGAAGGGGGCACTCCAGCACCAAGAAGCTAATTCCCAGAGTGACCAGCAAAAGGTGCCCAGGTGGTGAGTCACATGACTACTCATTCATTTCTGGGTGTCTGGCTGATGAGTCTTGCCCACATGCTCAGGGTTTAGCTGATCGCCATATTTGGGGTCAGGAAGGAATTTTCCTCCAGGGTAGATTGGCAGAGGCCCTGGAGGTTTTTCACCTTCCTCTGTAGCACGGGGCACAGATCACAGCTAGAGGATTCTCTGCATCTTGGGGTCTTCAAAGTATTTGAAGGCTTCAATATCTGAGATATAGGTGAGAGGATTATTCTGGGAGGGGTGGGTGAGATTCTGTGGCCTGCACTGTGCAGGGGGTCAGACTAGATGATCATAATGGTCCTTTCTGACCTTAAAGTCTATGAGTCATTTCACTGTCATCCATGCCCACAATAATTTCTGCTTTGCATCACTTTCTAAGTTATTTCTCCACTTGGGCTTTGTAAATATTTGGTATGAATTTCAATATCTTCCGCCTGTCCTCTGATTTCTATATTCCAGATATGAGACTGTACAAATCCTTGACATAAGATGGAAGCAAAATGATACTCATTCAGTCAGGAAAGAGAGAGTATCCAGTCACTTGTCCCATCAACAGATCTCAGATTTCAAACTCTGAATATCAAATACTTTAAACAAATTTCTTACAAATGAAAACCAAAAACCGTAGTTCCCAGAAAATATTTTAGGTATAATTTTAAATGATAACTCCATTTCAGGAAAAAATAAATGTAATTGTCATTTGTAGTTCTATTACATGAGCAACTAGAGGTCCCAACCAAAATCAGGGGTCCATTGTGCCAAATGCTGCACAGATAACCAAAGGGTGAAATACTGACACCACTAAATCAGAGATGGATTTCAAAGATAAATACTTACTGTATTGAGATGCTTCAATGGTGATAAGCTTCACAATGAAGCAATCACTAACTGTTATGCAGTGGCAATCACCCATAAATACTGTGGATGAATATTTACAGGTTGTCTACCACAGAGGAATATTTACAGGTCTGAGGTAAAAAGGAAGTACAGCTTGAGATTGGTCATGAAGGAGGGATTTAAAAAGCCTAAATCCTTCCGTATTGACTCTTGGTGAAGGAAGAAAACTTGCAAGGGACCATGGGAAGTGTATTCTACATAGCGCCACCTGAATTTACTTCTGGGTGTCTGATGGAACCAGGACATAACCCAGAAAACTTACCTTCTAAATAGACAAGAGAGTCAAACGATGGCAGAGGAAATAGATAAATCAACCTCCTCGTTGTGAAATGTCTTTCCAACTTCAATATATACACTGACACAAAATCACCACACTTATTTCATGTTCTGTGTAAAGAGGAAACCGGTAGAATCTTGTATATCCATATGTGATAATTGTCATGAATGTTGACTTTAAAGAAGACTACTGCTTTACATGAGGTTTCACTTTGCATATTTCTATCCATTTTTACTTTTTAATATTTGACAGAGACAATATAGTGAGCAAGCATTTTCAAAAGGCATCAAAAGCATTTAATATTTTCAGCAATTGCTCGTGAGTTAATTTTATTAATAATTTTTCAATCATTTTCTTTTGGGAGAAGTGTCCTAGAGGGACTAAGTTAAATTTGTAGTAAACTGCTGCATATGGTAAATCAGAAGATCAAATCTATCTCAACATTTTCCAAGTGTGTACTCTATAGCCTGATTGAAGTTCAAAGTTTTTATGGAGAAATGTTATGCAAGCAGAGTGAAGAG